CTACTGTTCAAACTGTTTTTGTTTTATATCTCTTTTTTGTTTTGTTTTTTACTGGGGATGACCTAGACAAGTTCTTTGTTGAACTTTTGTCATTACCCTGTCATTTTATTAACATCATGGACTAAAAAATAAAATTGAAGAAAACCATATACAAGAGGCTTCTATTATATTGTAGCTGTTCTTGCCTTGCTTTCAGTCCCGTTAATTACCGCAATGACTATTTGTCTTGTCGACTGTGAAGATAATGCAAAAGCTATTTGCATTGGAGTTTGCCTTTATCATCTCAAAATATATTAATATATTGATATAGATCTTCTATTTGACAGGTAACGCTCGTCTGCACGCGTCACTTGCCTTTACGAACTTATAAATGCGCTAGCGTACTCTCTTCTGTGGCTTTTAAATTCCAGCGAGTCTAGCTACGGTATCTTGTGGATTCTTCTCTGATTTCATTTGGACGTGGAAGATTCGTCATCTAATATAAATATTAAAAGAATTTTCGAGGCGCATCAAAGACTCGCATATTACTGGAAATATTTTCGAATCCAAGGCAACGCTCACGCGACCCTTTGGTCGGCGTTCACAACCAGCATAGGTGAGAAATATTGCGAACTTCTCAAATTGAATGTAAAAAGTGCTCAACCTAATACAAGTCTGAAGGGTTTTATGGACGTCCGCTAGAAATCCCAAAGAATCTGAAACTACTTCTGACCGAGTCATCATGATAGATTATCAATATTCTGTAAGTTTCAGTTGCTAAATTTTAAAGTAAGTTTAAAAGGCAAATTTTCTTCTTTTCGAAAACTGGAAAATATAGTATCAATATGTACGTAAATGGTTCAAGCGTAAAGGTACTGAAAAATTTTATAAACTGGCAAAGGCGGAAACAGGTGTCTATTAATTAAAATGAAGGAGACTTCGTTAAGACGCTAAATTAACCTTTAACACATCAAGGAGCACCAGTTGAGCAGTCAGTGATCTTCATAGTCGAGAGACCATAGCCGTCCAATCACTCTCGCACAAATGTTGAAAAATAACTCACGATGCCAAAATAAGTTTCGATATTGTGTTAATGTCTCAATGTGAGAACCGAAATCCAATTGATGATTAAAGATATTTTCTATCGTCTTTTTATATTCTTATTACTTTCTATTACTTTTATTACTTTTTGTAGTTAATACTTATTACTTGGTAAGAAGTAATAACAGTTATTACTTATTACCAAGTAATAAGAGGATAACAGTTATTACCTTATCATTTATTACTTTTATTACTTTTGAAATTTATTACTTATTATCAAGTAATAAGTAATAACGCTTTTGTTATTACTTATTACTAGTAATATTAATATTTTTCTATTAATAGTAATAGAAAAACTTTCAATGAGAAAATTCACTTAGTAGAATATTGAATATAATTTCAATGGTGCTTACGGTACTCTTAAGGATTGTAGAACCTTTTCTCTCTGCACGACATCTGCGCATGGGCTAAATCTCTCCTGCTGTTTCGTTACTATACATGCAAAACGCGTAACTCTGCCACCGCAATCTCAGTGCGTTACCGTTTTTTCTCTTTTCGTCTATCTTATAATATTCGGAGAGAATATTGTAGAATCCTGGAAAGCATCTTGTTTTGTAGAATGAAGTGCGTTCTTCAAAATCCACTACTAACTCAATTCGAAATAATTGACGACTTTTCGGTTACAATCGAAATACTAAAAGCCCTAAAAACAAACGACAATGTTTTTGGGGCTCTTCGTATTTTAAGTATAGCATAAAAAGCGTCAATCGATTTGAATTGAGTTAGTAGTGGATTTTGAAGAACGCACTTCATTCTACAAAACACGATGCTTGCCAGGATTCTACAATATTCTTTCCGAATATTATAAGATAGACGAAAAGAGAAAAAACGGTAACGTACAGAGATTCTGGTAGCAGTTACGCGTTTTACATGTATAGACATCATTCTTCATGTTTTTTGCTCATGCATAGGATTAATTCCTTTCAGACAAGATAATTGATATACTTTTAAAGGGAGAAAGCCCTATTTTATACACCTCTAAAAAGTCATGAATCGGTTTTGGAAAATATTGTTCCGTTGTTGAGAAAATTAATTTTTTTAAAACAGGTAGTAAAAATGAAGGAAATTCACTTGTATGCTGCAGTTTTCGCCGTCATCTCCTTTTGTTAAAAAACTGCAGACTCTTTTCTCCCAAAAGCTCTCTTTTTGAATCTTCGGTTTTTTTCAGTTTTTTGCTCGTTTTGACCTGTGAAATGAACTTTTTCCAAACAAATTATACATAGTTAGAATCAATACGTCACAGCGCGCCTATCCATGTAATAAAATCGAAAAATGAAAAAGAGCTCGAATTTTGTATGACTTGACAGTTTTTAGCAAGCTCAGTCACGGTCACGAGAAAAACGTCTCAAGTCAAGTCAGACTTGACTTGCTCAGTTCTGATTAGACCTCTCGTATGAATTCCATCAAAATTGATCTACTGCTTCAATGATTAAAGCTTTTTTCAAACAGTTTCATCAGAGCGGGCTTCTGACACTTTTCTCAAGTCATAATTATGCAAGCCTTCAAAAGCTTTATCCATATCCGACATACTATTTGTTGGACCCTTATCCCATACAGGATGCTACAAAGTCAATCATTACTTCGGAAATGTATTCTTGCTGAGATACAGGACTGAGACATCATATAGTGCTATCGTTTTTGGTCTTTTTCGTAATACTTTTACCGCTATGTCTACAGCTTCTGTACCTCGGCAACAACACATTTCAATTTTTAAAGAAATGTTTAGAGCCTTCAATAATGCATTATCAATTTTAAATTGTGTTTACTTCCTTTGCAGTGGCTCTTTATAAAAGAGCAAAAAATAAGAGGACCGTTACGTATGCAAGCCGCTCAGCACATAACAAGCACTTACGAGTACTTTTTCATGTATTAATAATTATCAATCACAAAATTTCTGTAGTCCGCACAAATTCTCTATCAGATTCTGCTTCAATGGAAAAGATTCTGACAACAAATCGTTAGATCCTATAAGAAGATTTGTTTCTATAGATAAAAAATTTCCCTAGAGAACTTTCCTGTTTTAAGCACACAAATTGTTCAGAGCGAGTTGAAGAATATTCTATTCTAATCGGAGTTCTTAACAACCGTGCCCGAACGATAATTAACTACTAATTGTTAATAATCGTTTCTCTAGCCACAGAGGTTAACTTGAAATCAACTTCCATTTCTGTCACAGCGTACACTTCTTGCGATCTAGTTCAGGCCAAGTTTTTATGTAGTTTTCGTTCTTTAATTTCTTTCCGACTTGTAGAACTCTTCATTAAAATAAATATTAAAAATTCTAATTTTAGTCAGGCTTGGTACCCATCCCAACAATCTCCAGTTACGCTTGGTATCAGTCGGATTGGTCGACCAGTTAGGCTTGGTCGAATGCAGTAGACACAAGCTTCACCGTACAACCTAAGATGTAACTAGGCATGCACCAGTCCAATCCGACTGAGGATTGGTACCAAGCCGAGATTGATACCAGTTAGACTTGGTAACCACCCTCTCAGTGTTTGTTCTTATTTTTATGTTGACGAGGTTTATTTTAGCCCACTAGCCGCAGTTTTAAAATTATTTAATTAATAGATCAGCTTCACTTCCACCATCCCCTATGAAAACTTTCTTGGCTTATAGTTGATGTCGTTAACCCGATGACTCATCATTTTACAGTCTAATTTTGCGGTATCGCTATCCACCACTAATTTGCCTTTGTTGATTTCGAAACTCTGCTAAATTAAACAATCATCCAAACGTTGAACGTTTATGCCACTTTCAGGTCTTAAAAGACGGTTGAGTGTTTTTATTTTGCTGACTAGTGTATTTGCAGTCAAGAATTTTATATGCCACGTAGCTATATAAAACTAAGTCTCGCATTTCGTATATTTTTTGAAAGCCAAGCCTAACTGGTAACAAGCCCGATTACCAATCCTATCAATCCTCAATCGGATTGAACTCGTACAAAACGCGTACAGATAGGCGTATGTACATAAACTTTTAGCTCTACCAGACGTGTTTTAACTGAACTGTGAATCTTTTAATTTCAGATGGTGATGACCGTTCATAGAAAAAACTAGCTTCCTGTGAAAATTTCGGGAAACTGTATAGATAGTGTTTCTAATGACCTTCCCATACGTTTTTCTTCGGTAAAAAGCAAAAAATAGGGACCAGAAACCTAGATTATCCACATCCTTTGTCAAAGACTTTGTCATACTCACTTGACTTTAGACTTACAAAACCTCTGACTTTGCCCAGCTCTGAGTCCGACTCTGCAGAGTGCAATAACCCCACGTTAAACTCACTTTTCAAGTATTTTGTTATTGTAAGTGATGTAATTGTTTTTTCGTTCTTTCTGCACGTTAACACATGACTCACCTTCTATGTTTTGATTTACTCGGGACTGTACCATAGAAGAGAGTAATTTGTGCCACAGTATGAATAATAATGTACTATTTGAAAAGAACTGTTCTCAAAATTTTCTTTACAGTTTTTCGGCATTTGTTAACTTAAACATTGTCTCACACAAGACTTAGCTATAATTAGCACCGGAAAAGTAATATGCTAAATTAACTATTTTGAAAAAGCCGTATTAAAACTCAACAGTCCTTTTTGTTGTAGAAAAACATGTTTTTATCGTTTGATAAAAGTTTTCAATCAAATTTAATCACTGAATCCGACATAAATGATTGTATCCATGCATTGAACAAGTGGGACTTTGATGACACACTCGACATGGCTAAGTATCTTCTAGTCGCAGATAAAAAACCATTAACTATTAATTTAGACAATGAGAAAAATAAAGAGTTACCAGCACAATTCAGTTCATTGCTTCTCGATAAAAATGATAAACCGTTTTCAAGCCCAGCTTTATTACGTATTGTGTTACTAGTTATGTGTAATTTCAAGCGGACATATCTGTGTAATAGTGAGGATGATGACGGTTTTTTTCCAGTCTACATACCCAAGTTTCAATCGTTCACATATCAAATTAATGTTCATCAAGAAATAACTTATGCTTATGGGCTTTTATTAGCAGCTATGGATATTGAATTAGACAGTGTAAAACTGGATCGCATTCGAATTTATTATCGAATGCAAATTACTCATAGGAAAAGCTTACTCACAGTGTACGAAACAATGTTAATACATGAAAAATATTTGACATTAGAACAGTTCTTTAGACGATTAGAAGAATGCTATTATTTGGAAGAACACTTATGTAAAATTCATTCCATGCTAAAAGGTTTTAATGAATTTATTACGAAATATCAACATTTTCTTAAAAGCTTTCTACATGAGAAATTAAATATCAAAAAGATATGTGCAACTGAAAATAAGGCATTGAATTCAGTCGAGACGAGTACAAATGTGTTGTTAAATGGTCTATGTGTTATAGTCAATATTAGCACGATTGCAGGTGATCCTAACCCGCGTCGTGGTTCAGAAAAGGATGTACACTTATTAGAAAATATGTTTAAAGAAATGGATTTTAGTGTGAAAATATGTAAAATTGATTGTACTGAAGAACAATTCGCTACAGAACTGAGCGATATTAAATCGAACAAAGATTTTTCTAAATATGATTGTTTAGTCATGTTTATCATGTCGCATGGGAAGCTAAATTTTATCCAAACAGCCGATGGTGTAGAGATCTCAATACGAGACGTTGTTCGCTATTTCAATGATAAACATGATACTATTTGGAAAGGCAAAAAGCGTTTTTTTTTTATCCAAGCATGTCGTTCAGTTAATCATGAATGTAACATAACAGAACTATGGAAGCAAACATATGATGTGACCGGCGAAGATTTATCAGATAATATGTTGGTGGCATTTTCCTGCAATAAAGAGGAAGAGGCAAAACGGAAGCCAGAAGTTGGAAGTATTTATATCCAAACACTATGTCTCATGATTTATCTGTACGGTCATAGGTATGTTTTGGGCATATTGACCTTGTATATTCTTAAGTTAATTACGAGACGAACAGCATACAAATTTGCAAAAAACAACCATCATCTAATATGTTAGAAATTCAGTTAGGTCTATTCCCTTGTTTTCATGTAGAGTGCCCTCTGTATGCTCTGAAAGATAGATGTATCCTTCAATACAACATTGTATCCTATTTATGTACATGATATATTCTGTCTGCAGCATTCAATTGGTTTAGTAGACAATGACCTATGTCAGCTGAGCAACTTTATCTCATTTAGTTTGCCCTAATAGGAGAAACTCTAATATTATGTCATACATTAGCACTTTTGAGCTTTATAAAGAAAACCAGAAGAATTGACATTGAAAGCATCGAGTCGATTGCACAACTTGAACCGTTATACAGAATGTAGACACAGAACAGTGAATTTAGCTTTGTAGTTTATTCCAAAGCTAATTCGATGTGTTCGAATCTCAATATGTATTAAATTCATTCTGTGTTTAGAGTTATTAGCTGATAGAATTTTTGTCTGGACAACGTAAAAAACACAAAAGAAGTTTGCAAGCAGCGGCGGACGTAATATTTGCTCCTTATAAATCGACTTTCGGCGATGGCACCCGGGTTTTTTGGAAAAAAATTGCTGCGTCGGCGGCGCGGCTAACACCTCTATCTGTGTTTTTCGATAGTTGTAGTTTAGAATACTATAGCGTAATATATTCTGTTTGTATTCTGAAGAAATAAAGCTTATATCAAAACGTGATATGATCTTCATATGTAAGTCCTTATGGCTTCAGTAAGTCATCTCTTGTTTTCTCTTTTTTCCAGATTTCCAGTTCAAGTAATTCTCGACGTAACTGCAAAATATCTTGATGCAGCTGAAAACATATTACAAAAAACGCGTCAAGGGTATATGAAGTTACCGAAAGCCGAGCGTTTAAGCCAAAGCCCAGAATATTTAAGTCGTTTAAATGCTGATTATTATTTTTCACCTCATAGTTTAATTAAAAAAGTTCAACGTTCAAAACAATTTGATCATTTGTTTTTGAGAAGAGCACTGTATTATTTTCATACGCTCGTTGGTGAAAATTTATTTAGAAGAATTGATACATATTCAGATCACACTTCTACCAATGCAAAAAATTCGAACAATATTGTCCGTACCCTATCAAGTGATGATATATATCGAAAGAAGCGGCGTTCGTTTTTACAAAAATCGATGTTAAATATTTCAAATTTTTAAGAACAACACGAATGAGACGTTTATCAACAAAATGAAAAAGAGCAGATCTAATTTGATATCCCATTGCCATTTTTTTCACCATACCTTGGTACATACTAACGCAACCTAAGATGAAAATCTGTTTTGTTTCATTTTCGTTTTTAAAACAGGCTCCACATCATTCTTTTTGAGACACGTTGCTTTTCATTAGAGAAACAAATAAAAAAGAACTCGTCTCTCATTCTAAAACGAAGAGAAACGCATTCTCATACCGAATGCAATGAAACGGTTTTTTTCTTGACTGAAAAATAAAATACTAAATAGAAAGTGTTTTGAATTATAAAACAAGACGTTACTTTTAATTTTCTTTTCTTTCATTTTCTTTTCTATGAATCAGTAGGCATCAGTGAGCAGTAGGATCATTCAAGAAAGACTTATCGAAATATTGTGTGATACACCGTACTATGACATGCAAAATACTTTTAACTGCAAACTATATGATGGCCCAAGAAGGCATCTGATGGAATTTATTGCCCATATAAAAGTATCTTATCCGATTCTTACATAAAAGATCACAGAAACTCAAAGTCGAAACGTATAGATAATTAGGAAATCTCTGGGAAAACGCCAAAGTCCACATCCGCGATGATCCTGTCCGCTACTCATCCACAACTTTTCTTATGCTTACTTAATTGGGATCTATTGCATGTGAACCCCAAGTTAACACGTTTTCTTATTTCGGTCATCTCAAACACATAAAATATAGATGCACGATCCATATCTTCTGTTTTATTTATCGTACTCAGTATTATCATTTACACATGCAAAACGCGTAACTCTGCCACCGCAATCTCAGTGCGTTACCGTTTTCTCTCTTTTCGTCTATCTTATAATATTCGGAGAGAATATTGTAGAATCCTGGAAAGCATCTTGTTTTGTAGAATGAAGTGCGTTCTTCAAAATCCACTACTAACTCAGTTCGAAATAATTGACGACTTTTCGGTTACAATCGAAATACTAAAAGCCCTAAAAACAAACGACAATGTTTTTGGGGCTCTTCGTATTTTAAGTATAGCATAAAAGCGTCAATCGATTTGAATTGAGTTAGTAGTGGGTTTTGAAGAACGTACTTCATTCTACAAAACTAGACGCTTTCCAGGATTCTACAATATTCTTTCCGAATATTATAAGATAGACGAAAAGAGAAAAAATGGTAACGCACAGAGATTCCGGTAGCAGAGTTACGCGTTTTGCATGTACAGTATAATAATACATGCCGGTATAAAACTATTTTAATAACAGATAAAAATTTTATTCTGTTGTCTAGATCTTTGCTACTTTCCTTTCTGTTCTTCCTTTTCGTCTATTCAGTGTTTCTCATCATGGTTGCCAGTTTCATCATTCTCATTATTTGTATTCCAACCATTATTATTTTCATTGCTCCCACCATTTCGATTATCGTTACTCCCATCATTATTATCACAACTATCGCCATTCTTATTAGAATTAACACCGCTATCTATTTTGATATTTGGAATGCCGTTATTACAGTTATAATTAAATAATGCACTCCTAAAATAGAATCAGCGATTAGACAAGGAACACCCAATAAATCCTACTTTACTCATAGCTTACCCAACTGGGAAAGTCTACATCAGATCTTTTCTTGGAACATTATATCTATTCAGGGGTAGAAATTAACTGATACAATAGTAACAGCAGTTGCGATTACTATTTTATCAGATCTTTTCTTATCATCCAGGTGTCCAAAAGTGGTACTATACAATATGATGTAAAATCATGACAGCCAGTTGGTTCGGTATAAGCAAATATGCCTTTGCCAGCATTAAACGATGCTTTTAGCAGAGATAATCTTTAGGTTAGAAGAACTAAAACACGAACAACAACAACAAGACAAACAATTATAAATACTAACTAGCTATTTAAGGGGAATACTTTGCCAGAGCTATATTCTGATAAGCAGAAACAACGTTTCGTTTAGTTATCTAAACATTATTATTTACCGGACGATACACTGTACTGTCGTCCAACCCAGCATGAAACCAAGCACTCTCTAGTTAATTAGTTATTCCGAGTTATCACCGAAATCGATATTTATAATGGGCGCATGATCACCCATATCCGAACATAGTGGGCAAAAGAAGCATTGAAAACTTTAAGGAAACGTGCACTTTGGACTAGTATAAAAACCGATATTATTAAGTATATTCACGCTTGTCCAAAACGTTAGTCGGTTAAACCAAGAAATACGTACCTTTCACGTAAAATGCAGACTGTCGCTCGTGCTACTCTCTAAAAGAAAAGACTAGATGGTACGAAGTTTGTTAGATGGTACGAAACCTCAAAACAAAATTTTTTTCTACACGGTTTTGTACAGAGTATACGAAACCGGCGAAGTGATTTAGTAGCATTAAAGGTTTAGTAGAAATTTCACAAAACCTTACGAGTTTCGTATCGCATTAAACACTTCTTCGATGAAAGAAGAATATGTTGAAAAACCAATAAACAACTAGTAGCAGATATTTATTAGTCTTAAGATAGTTATCCGAAAGACGTTGTCTGTTTGAAACACGCGATTTATGTGAATACCATTAGATGGAGCCATTTTTTCTCGGCTGTGATTGGCCTAATACAGAAACTAATAAATGATAGAATGTGAAAGATGACTATTTTATTTCTTTGCTTTTTGCATGAACTATAGCCTACTTCATCGGGGAAAGTTAAATCTACTGTTTTCCCATACCATTCCTTCCTCGATTAGTTAAACCAAGTTTAGAAATGACACCGTTCACACGATCTAAAAAAGTTCAATAATGGTTAAGGATTGAGGAACATCTTCTTTGGGAAAGCCATGTATCTTTTTTGCATAGCTGAGTGTACTTACTTGATTATGTTTAATAAACATAAAAGCACTTGAGGCTAGCAACTTGAAGTTTAATAATACTTCAAGTTTTATCATTTGCTGATCTCTCATAATTCACTCGTCACATGTGAATAAGTATTAGTATGATGGGCAACTTGAGGACTGGTTGGCTGGCTCTATCAACTGAGAGTATTGGGTTATAGAAATTCGGTTAAATAGCCAAGCTGGCAAGTTCCCAAACTGAATTGCTAGATTAGTATAGCAAACTGAGTGTAGAAAAAAGAAATAGAGTTGCTTTTTTTTAGTTACAACTGATCTAAATCTGATGCACAACCGAGCACAATGACTAATTCTAAGATTGTTTATTCACGAAAAGTGGAAGTCATCAAAGACCACCGACCTGTAATAACAATGACTCCGAGTGTGTAACGAAATATGACCTGTCCTTCCACTCTCTTCCAACCATAATTCATCTGTCTCTCTCATTGTGTGAGGTATTCATTCACTCTCTTTTTGTATGTGTTCAATGTCGCTTTCTGTAGTTAATATCAATATCGAACTTCAGACGTTTTGTACCATTATTGTAAGCATATATTGGTATTTATTCGACGCTCGTTTTTTCTCTGCTTTTGTACCTCGCAGAACTGGACAGGTCAGGATTTTTTCAAATCTCAGTCAACGAAAATATGCTTCAAGTCTGACTTGACTTGGAACAGAGGCGTTTTTGTCTTGACTTGCCCAGCTCTGCATGGAAAACGACTCTATTTAGATCTTTAATATCATTTCTCTGTATTAAAAGAATGCACTTTTGAAATGACTTAAGAGACAGACAAAATTAGAAGCCGGTCAGAAGATCGGTAAAACCTTTTTCTAAGTCAAGTCTGACTTGACTTGCCCAGCTCTGATACCACGTTCATTGAAGCCTAAGAAAATACACGTATCAATTTCGCATAAATAATTCCAGTTAGATATTGAATTTTTCTGCATGAATTGTAGAGATTAAATGGAAAAATCTGTCTGTAATATACTTGCGGTTACTATCGATATACAGTCCGTAAGGGAGAGCTTTACAAAACTATATAAAATCGGCTAGCTAAGAATCATAATTACAAAAGGTCTGATTGAGGAAATTGAGAGGTAGCCGAAATATGATCATCAAGTTTGTACGAAACGTTTCTTGCTAGGGTTTAATACGAAACCCGTTGTACGAAACCTCTTTTGCTAGGGTTTACTACGAAACCTGTTGTACAGAACCTTTTTGTCAATAAAAAATAGAGGTTTCGTAGCTGAACGCCGGAACCTAGGTTCGTACGAAACTTAAAAGGTTATAGAAATGGTTGCAATTCTCCATATCCTTTTAAGTTTCGTAATAAACCATTTTTTTTAGAGAGTACTCGTCCATGAGCTACGAGACCAACCCTCTAGTTGCTTTCTTGAACAACACAGTTGGGCTCCTATTTATTTTTAAAAATAACAGATGCAAAAACACACTCTTAACATCGAATCGGTGGTAAAAACCTGTTCAGTCTTATCTGACTATATTGGATAATATCTGTCATCTAAAAACATGCCTTGCGTACTGTTCTATTGCTGTTCGACTTGTGGTGTTGTTGTTGTTCAATTATTTGCTGACGATGATGTTGCTGTCGTAATAATTCTGAGTAATGCGCTGTCGTTAACATTGCACTCGGGTCTAATCGACAAACAACTTGAAAATTGAAAATACTACATAACATATTACACTTAGGCATGTGTAATATTGAACAACAACGTGGTTTAATGTTAATTTCTAACAATATTTCTTTACAGAATCGTGCTGTAAATCTTGGATCAATATGACGAATCACACAGATATCATAATTTCTTTGCCTATCTTGTTGGCTTCCTTTTACATTTCGACGTTTCTGTTTTTTCTTGTATCGTGTTGTTGCATGCTTATCGCGTTCTGTTGTATGCAGACTAAGATTAACATTGCGGACATTTATTCAAGAAAATGCTTTTATGTATACACTAAACCATCGGGCACATAGAAGAATGCCCACAGAAAAACACTGGAAGCACGAGACTGTTCCTTGTCAGCTGCTAGTCTGTGACTAAGATCGACAGAGCAGCTATAGCAGGTGCGAAGCACTCTGCT